TAAAATGGAACGTTGACTCACTTTCTCGTGAGTTTGAACACGTCTCTGACTAACCCACATCTGTAGATATCCATCCGCCAAAGCGTGTGATTAGCCCATATCTGTAGATATCCATCCGCCAAAGAGTTTGTTGATTTCATCCCTACCGGGGATTGTTCCTTAAGAGATCTTGTGAGATTCAAAGGGAGATCATGAGAACAATAGAAAAATGCATAAAGTGTCTTTGAGGATTGTCTTCACTTTAAAATAATAATAATAATAATAATATTGATAAAAAGAAATTGAAGGGGGAAAAAACATGATTAGCTCCAATCTTTTGTCGTCGTCGTCCCCCCCCCCCCTCGAGCGCATGGAACATTCCAAAGCTAGAAATTTTAAATAAGGGCTGAGCACTTTGGGGGTGTTTGTGTGTGTCTGTAAAGGGCCGCATGATAATTTTTCACTTTAAAATAATAATAATAATAATAATATTGATAAAAAGAAATTGAAGGGGGAAAAAACATGATTAGCTCCAATCTTTTGTCGTCGTCGTCCCCCCCCCCCTCGAGCGCATGGAACATTCCAAAGCTAGAAATTTTAAATAAGGGCTGAGCACTTTGTGTGTGTTTGTGTGTGTCTGTAAAGGGCCGCATGATAATTTTCTATGAAAGTAGAGTTTCCAGTCGCCCGCGTGCACGACGGCCTTAGGTACAGGCAACTACCTTGGGCGCCAAGTCTATTTTAAGGGCGTCATCTTGATCCTAAACAAAAATGTAAATACTCTGTTCGAGGAAAATAAAATTGAACTGATTGAAGAATATGATTCTGCTGCTGGACTATTCGGTGATATTCCCTTTTACAACCAACGTGGCTTAAGATGATTCAATATTTATTTTAATAAAAACAATAGGACATCCCAAAACATGTTGTTAAAAAATTGTGTTTTGAGCAATCAGGGCCATTTGTTGGTAATAAATTTAGTGGAATGCTGAATTGTTCACTTGACAAATACGCCTTTCATTTGAAGACACAAAAGAAAAAAAAAGAAAAAAACAGGAAAAAATTGAAAAAAACAGGAAACACTCAATTCAATAGAATGTGTTGTCATCGCCAACGTGTCTATGTACCAAGTTTCAGCTCGATAGCTTGACGGGAAGTGGGGGCAATTAGCTGTCCGGAGATTTTTGCGACACACCCAGCCAGAAAGTAACATGAACAAAAGCGAAGTTAATATAAAGGATAATGTAACGGACTATGTTTTCACATGAAAACAGAGAGGTAGCATGAGTGAACAGTGAATTGTGTTGACCATGTATTTTGAGATGCAAATGTGAACTCCACGTTTTTGGAGAGTAAAATTATGTTTTTGTCAGAGCGGTTGTTTTCCACGCTTTGCTGGTAATAAAGTATGAGTTGACTGAGATAGTCAGAGCTGAGCGCAGAGCAGTAGAGAACAGTAGCGTGAGAGCTGTGTGATTAGACAGTTGACAGTTTAGTGTGAGGACGTGTCTTTCTTAATGATGGAATACTATAGATATATATATGTGAAATTACATTCATGCAAGGATTATTTATTAATATTATCAATATAAAGTGTGTTCAATAAAGTACTGTAAGTTTAACCAGGATTCAGTATTCTTATTTGCGTGCCCGGATGATAAGTGGAAGAATGAAGAAGTCTTAGTCGGCATCCTGAAATATCAACATAACATAAGTAACCATACTACTGACATAACCTACAGCATAAGAAATAAGATCCCACGCCATGTCAGAGTAGTTGTGTTACAAATAATTAATAACTAGGGCATTTTGAATAACACTGAACGCAGAGCTTCTCAATGTTTTTTAAGTTAGATTTTCCTTGATTACAGATTACACGATTGAGTAGTTGTTCAATTACAATTTTGAACAATCTTCATAGAAGGTACAGTTTATGTGCTAGAATTTACATTTTGGAAACATGAAACTTTATTATTGATTTTTTTATGTTTTGAGGCAGAAATTATGGTAACTTATGACATTCTTTGAGGTACGGTACTTAGATGGTAGTATACATAGTTGGCTCTTTAAGAATCTTATTTTAGGACTCGTTTTTTCCAGTCTCCTCCATTAGCACCTTTTAAAATTTATTAACTGTTAATATCAACCTGAAAATGTGTAGGGGGAGGGGCCGCCAAAGTTTTGAAGTGCTAAGGCCGGCCCTGCCCGCGTGCAGTAGGTTGCACAACTCAGCTCTCAATGACACAAAATATAAATTTAAAAAAAACAACTCTGCAACGTTTTGTTAAGCTTCGAGACTGTTCCGAAATTTCCCGACGTCTGACGATCATCACCAACATTTCTATATGCTCTGTTGCTTTTAAAAGAGCATGCATACGTATATATATATATATATATATATATATATATATAGCTGAGTTACTACGTACAAACAGAAAAAATATACTCAATGACTGTCAACATGGCTTCCGAGTCAATAGGTCATGTGAGACCCAGCTTCTCGAATTTGTAGAAGACTTGATGACCAATCTGGAGAACCACAAGCAGACTGACGTGCTAGTAATGGACTTCGCAAAAGCATTTGACCGGGTGAATCATAGTTTGCTTCTACACAAACTCCAGATATATGGGATTCAAGGCACCACTAAAACATGGATCTCTAGCTTCCTCAGCCACCGACGCCAAGCAGTAGTGGTGGGCGGTACAAGCTCCTCCTTTGTCAATGTGAAGTCAGGGGTCCCCCAGGGATCAGTCCTGGGCCCCTGTTTGTTCCTAGCATACATTAATGACCTACCGGAGAAACTGACATCACAGGCAAGACTGTTTGCAGATGACACAGCAGTGTATAGGACGATCGCCAACAGATCTGACCAGGACCAGCTACAACAGGATCTCAATCTGTTAGCTGAGTGGGAGATGAGCTGGGACATGGAATTTCACCCTGCCAAGTGCCAGACACTATCAATCTCTAGAAGTTGTACTCCTCTACACTACCAATACAAACTGCACGGCCATATTCTTGAGCAAGTTTCCTCCGTAAAGTACCTGGGTGTTACCATTCAAAGAGAGGTCCGCTGGGACGAGCATATTAACAATGTATGTAACCAAGCAAACCAAGCCTTGGGGTTCTTAAGGCGAAATCTAAAGATTGGCAACTCCTGTGTGAAAGAAAGAGCATATAAAGCCTTTATCCGTCCGATTTTAGATTATGCATCTTCAGTCTGGGACCCATTTACCCAGAAGAGCATTGACAGGTTGGAGGCGGTCCAGCGACGAGCAGCACGTTTTGTCCTAAACCGCTACAGGAATACCTCTAGTGTTGGCAGCATGCTAGAAACACTAGGCTGGTCACCATTGGAGAAACGACGACGACAATCCAGGCTCTCCATGATGTACAAGATAAATAATGGGCTGGTCCACTGTTCCAGTATTAAACAGAAACTCGTCCCTCTCCCCCATAGACAGCGACGAGGCCATGACAGGCAATTCAGGCTCATACCAGCAAGAAGCCAGTATAGGAGCTGCTCATTCCTGCCCAAGACAATCAGGGACTGGAACCATCTTTCAAAAGGAACAGTTGAGGCGACAACACTAGACAAATTTGTGTCTATTGCCTCAAACCTTCAAACCCCTAGTGCATAATTTCCTCATCACCACCAGTAACAGAAACATTGCAAATCCCATCTACATGCATAGGAGCCAAAATGATCAATAAATTGATCGTGGGCCCTTAAGATATAGAAGAAGAGAAGAAGAAATGACTTTCCACTTTATCATGTTTGTGCATACTTCTCCTGTACTTTTGGTACGGCTCTGAAAGGTGAAGCGGGCGTGAACCTTTTTTTGGTATTGGGGATGTGTAGACCAAGGTGTATTTAAAACCTTGGATTTTTTCAAACCATTCAAAGAGTTTATCCGGCAGGAGTCGATCAGTTCGATGACAGTCTATGTCTTTCTGTTGTGCTTGATACTGATTTCATCTGAAGTGGGATTTCCCCCACCACTAATAAGGTAAAACAACAGCCGTAGCATTAGGCGCAGACATGTCTTTAGTTGGCACTTAAGTATTTTAGAGTTACACAGAGCAGTGGTTCTCAACCTTCACTATTGCTGCGACCATTTAATACAGTTCCTCGTGTTGTGGTGGCCACCAAACAAAATGATTTTCGTTGCTACTTCATAAATATTAGTTTCCCGATCGTCTTGGGCGACCTCTGTGTAATGGTCGTTTGATCCCCAATGGGGTCGCGACCCACACGTTGAGAACCGCTGACATTGAGTTATAATCACCGACGTTCACATTCACTGCTGCCACATATGAGTTGACTTCGATTTCTTAGAATTTCAATATACTTTTATGTTCATAAGCTCACTTATTTGTTTTATTAAATGTTACCCATTGGCAGAAAGCATTCATAAATTAATTTGATAAGCGCTTTATTAATCAAAGGAAATTCTTTTCAATGACCTAGGTCACATACAAACTGTCGAGTGTTGCTTAACCAGGCAATATGAATATTGGCATCATTTGGAACAATAATAAAAATGCATGATACTTTTATTACAATTATTTTAATCTTGATAGAGCGCACCATTTCAACGGCCTGTCGAAAAAATTGTCGGTGCACCAGGCTGCATTGTAAAACAAAGGAGCGTTGCTGTAAGCCAGATAGTTCATGTCACTTAAAATCACTGAGACAAATTTGCATTATTCATAATTACAATTACAGCAACGGTGCAGCCATTCAAATATGACACAAGTACAACGATTGACATCACAATCAGGAGGTGGATGATATGATGATAACAAAGATGTCTTTAAGAGATGAACAAAGATGTGTAATGGCCAGGTCAATTTTACAATAGCTAACTTTGATAAAATGAATGAATTTAAGTTTGCAGCTGCACACCATACGTACGTTGTACGTGCAGATATGAATCCATTTGTAACGAGGCTTTCGGTAGCAACACCTTTAATAGTTGTATTTTAAGCTTCACCACCAGGTCTTACAATCATGAAGATGTTTGTGGTACTGTCCTGCACGGTTGCCATGTGGGTCGCTTGCTCGGATGCTGCCCCGACGTTTGTCGTGGAATCGCCTTTTGGTTCGATCAAGGGACTAGAAGTGATAGCCAACAACAGCAAGCCCTACCTGGCTTTCAGGGGGATCCCTTACGCAAAACCTCCAGAGGGGGAACTCAGGTTTGCAAAGCCAGTGCAGCATCCTAAACTGGGTCAGTCTCTAAATTGTTCAAAATCTAATTTATCTGCTTTTGGGTAGCTAAAGTTGTCAATCTTTTCCAGAATGTGTAGGCCCTCTGGACATGAAACAAATTAGCTTGTACATAGTGGTCTTCGTGAGCAAGGGGTGCAGTGGCGTAAGAAGGGGGAAGTGGTCCATCCCAGGCGGCACTTCCTTTCTTTAGAGGGAGGGGCTGTATTTTCTGCCAACTGCAGAGCTTTTTTTTTTCCTTGGAAAGGGGGGGAGGGTGCACAAAAATCTTTGTCCGCCCTGGGCGGCACCAATCCCAGCTAACGCCACTGAAGGGGCGACAAAATTAAGGACCGCCCCCGGGCCTCGCGAACTCTTGTTGCACCCCTGGCTGTAATAAAGGGGAATAATTAAATGGTGTGTCTGTGTACGTGCCAGTCACGTTTCAATTGTTTCTAATCAATTAATCAATTTTAAAGTCTTAACAAATGAATTTATTCTTTGATTGAAAGAGGCAAAGACTAGGAAACATAACGTGCAGACAGAGACGAGTCTCCCAAATGGATCCACTGCACGTGACGATGCTCTGGTGGTTACATGGGTAACGCCATTAATGGCATGAGTTGAAATTCCGTTTTCTAAGGAACTAGTATAGTGTGTAATTTTTACTTTACATTCCTACAGATGGGATTTTCGATGCGTCAAAGTTTGGGAACGCCTGCATCCAAGCAGCTTACACGTTAGCACCAGAGGAGACCATGTCAGAAGATTGCCTGTTTCTGAACGTGTATGTCAAGTCCATCCCTACACAGAGCAGCCCGCAAAATCTGAAGAAGGTGATGGTGTGGATCCATGGGGGTGGGTTCATTCTCGGTTCCTCGTTCGCGTATGACGCCGGAATTTTCGTCACAAACAATGACGTCATCGTCGTAACAATCAACTACAGACTAGGAGTCCTGGGTTTCCTCAGCACTGAAGATGAGGCGAGTCCTGGTCACTACGGCTTGTGGGACCAGATCATGGTGCTGAAGTGGGTCAAGGTCAACATCGTGGCATTCGGCGGTGACCCGGATGATATCACGCTAGGAGGTCAATCCGCGGGAGGCGCCTCGGTTTCGCTTTTGTCCTTGACCCCTTTCACGAAAGGTTATTTCACTAAAGTCTACGCCCAAAGTGGGTCAGCAACGTCGCTTTTCGCCAAATACATCAACGCAAAGCTAGACGCTGTTAAGTTAAGTCAGCAAATGAACTGTTTCACTGGAAACGACTCGAACGACTCCTCTGACAGCCATAAGATAATTGAATGTTTAAAAGAGCGTTCAGCCGTGGACATTTCCATGGGGACAAATTTTCAGCTTTCCAGAACAACCTTTGTTCCACACGTGGACGGCCAACTCTTCCCAAGATCGCCAGCCGAGCTCCTGAAAGATGAGGCATACCTGGACTCCATCGGCTTCTTCCAGAGAAAATACCTGGTCTACTTTAACAACAACGAAAAACAAACCATAGACACTCTATACACCACTCTTAAGGGGTTTGTGTTGAACAGACCCAACGCATTCGACGCGGATACACTGAAAGAATGGTCCCAGCTACTTACAGCCTCGAACTTCGTGAACATCGGGGATCGCTTGGGGGGGGGGGGTGGAAGACCCGCCTTCAAACTTGGTCTCCGCGGTCAGCGACTGGTACATATGATATGTAAAATTTAAGTTACTTTATTGTTATTTATTTTACTGATGCAGGCATTTAGCCGAAACAATTACTTCGTAATTTTTTTTAAAGATAATCAAAGCTAAATGCATATTGTTTTATTTACACACATTTTTTTTCACCAGTGAATCTAAATTTTGAAATGACTTACTTCATTCAGGGGAGCACGGCTCAGAAACAAAGCAATTTTTACAAACTCCACATACACAAGGCGTCATTTAATCTTTATAACTCTTGCAAACGGCTAGAATACGGGGGTTAATTTGGAAGGGGAAAATAAAACATGCTTGCTGTAGCAACGCCAAACCTTGGCGACAGCAATGCGTGAACTTCCCATCTACTAAAGTTACTTGACAAAAACGTGAACTCAAGCTACTCACATTTAAGAATGCCATTTTTGCTACAACCCTCTCCCCCCCCCCCCTTTTTTTTTTCATGATACATCACTGTACACTTTTTATTTCACGCCCATGAACTCTATAACTATAGCCGACCCGCGGCTTAGCAGACGCCGCAAGCTTGTTGGGGTGTTGTGCGCATGGCTGGCAAGCGAGAGTGGTGCAGGAGGGGGGGGCGGTAGCTCCACCGCAGTGCGCATGTCTCGAGAACAACGATGGGCAGGCAAGGGAAGGGAGGGGAGGGCTTGCCTGCGTCTTGCTTGCTCTGGCGTATCTATATATAGCCTGCGTGGTCGTAGTCTTCTTGTTTGCCCTTCTTCTGGCGAATTATATATATAGATTTTAAAAAAAAACAACTTTTTTAAACCCCCATTTCATAATCTATAAAAAAATGTAAAATGTATCTCAAGTTGAAATGTTCAAATCCTAACCTAAAATTCACATAACGGAAACTTTTTTTTTTGTTTTGATTTGGCATCGTGTCAATCCTGTTTCATTCTTCCTCTATTCCGTTGCTCTAGCAATCCGTCCAGGGCTCTTCCTGGTAAACTGCCTAACGGTTGGCCAACCTATGACGTTCGTGGTGCCTACTACCTGGACTTTAACCCGCGCCCCAGTGTACAACGGAATCTGATGAGAGAGCAAAGAGATTTTTGGCTGAAGAGGACTCCACGTCTGATGGACAGACGCCAAGGTTGTGGCCCTCCTGACCTTGACCTGTTGGTGAAAAGTTGATGCTGGTTGGCCTTAAGTGTATTTTTTAAAACCTGAATTGTGACGTCATTGTGTGAGCGATGATTGAAATATGATGGGAAACCATGGGACGAATGATATCGTTTGTTGAGAAGGAGAGGAAAATGATGGAAAAGAGGAGATTGGGAGGTTGGGGAAAGAAAGAGTGAGGAAGACAGTGATATACATTGGAAAAGAGGTGGAGAGAAAGATATAGGGGGAAGAAAGTACATCGCTGAAGGGATAAAATGAGAGAAATGAGAAAGAGACGAAGCGGGTGGGGGATAGGGTGGGTGGGAGGTAGGGTAATGTCCAATGATCTATTTCCTTATGGTAGCTACACGTTTAAAATACATTTATGCTCAATATTTTAGTGTACTATTAATTTAAACGGGAGATAGTTGGTATCTGTTTGATGTTTTTATATATCTGATATTTACTACAACTCAAAGAAAGCTAGCTCCCTCAACCAAAAGAATTCGTTAAATCTATTTGGATAAAAACGGTCTCGTGGGAGTAATGCATGTAATTAATAAAGAAATGGCAACGGTCTCCATTGAATCTAAAAGACAATGAGACTTATTGGCCATATGGTATACAAAGCTGTGTTTGATTTAAATTAATAAAATGATATTTTTTGTTTGGTGGATAACGTAAGTGCCCTTTGTATGTACATTTTGCGACCCCCCTACCCCATATACTCCCCTCACCCCAAAGGCCACAAATTTAATATTTATCGGGTTATAAAATATTTAGTTGATGTATTTTTTAATTTCATTTTACATTTGTATTTAGTTAATACATTGGGTGTAATACACATCCGGGTTATGTCTTAATTGTTCACTTTATTCATGCCAGTACATTAAAATTCTTGTGAAACGCTTGTACATCAATTTAAATAAAATGATCGATCACAAATGTGTGTTCATTATATTAAGACAATCAAACACTTTTGGTTGTTAATGACATATTTCAATATGACGGTATGATTTAGGTATACCTACAACTTTTCCACCTATATGATGGTATAATCTATGGTATATCTACAACTTTTCCACCCATATGAAGGTATACATACAACTTTTCCACCCATATAATAGTATACCTACAACATGTCCACATATATATGAAGGTATACCTACAACTTTTCCACCTATATGAAGGTATACCTACAACTTTTTCACCTATATAAAAGATATCTCTACAACTTTTCCACCTATGTGAAGGTATACACACAACTTTTTCACCCACATGATGGTACACGTACAACTTTTCCACCTATATATGAATGTATACCTGCAACTTTTCCACATATATGAAGATATACTTACAACTTTTTCACCCACATGATGGTATACCTACAACATGTCGACCTATATGAAGATATACCTACAACTTTTCCAGCTATAAGAAGATATACCTACAACTTTTCCTCCTATATGAAGATATACCTACAACTTTTTCAGTATTCCAATAGGTATAATTGAAACCAAGAAAATAGGAGCTAAAAAACCCAGTAGTGGCACCTAAACAAACCCAGTAGTGGCAACCAAACAAACCCAGTAGTGGCAACTAAACAAACCCAGTAGTGGCAACCAAACAAACCCAGTAGCGGCAACTAAACAAACCCAGTAGCGGCAACTAAACAAACCCAGTAGTGGCAACCAAACAAACCCAGTAGTGGCAACCAAACATACCCAGAATGACAACTAACCAGCCATAGACAGAAAGCCCCGGGTAGGCAATACTATGTCTGTGTCCATGGCCGGGGGCAGAGTAACATTTAGCAAGACTGTCATTCTTCATGAATACCCTTATACCACAACTGACCACTAGTCAATCGGATCAAATGGGGTCAAATGGGGTAAAATGTGAAACTTTTAAATGTATCTTGCAGTCATGAACATCTTTGAAACTACGTAATCTCATTTTCTATAATTAAAAATGTGAAGAAACAAAGACAGATTTGAGAAAGTAGAAGTTATCTCTTTTAACAGACCCATAAAATATCTTTAGAACAAATCATAAATCAATTTTAACGTCTCTCCAAAAACGTATCCCACAAGGTTGCGTTCTCTCCCCTGTCATATATACCAGTGGTCCCCAAATGGCGGTCGGTGGACCTTCACCGGTCTGCATGCATAACGCTGCTGGTCCCCATAACATAAATAGTTATTGTCAAATAGAAATAAAAGTATTTTTAAAAAGCATGCACCAGTCCCTGATAAAATTTTTGAAACTTGTTCACCGGTCCGCCAAACTTAAAAGTTTGGGAACCACTGATATATAAAATATACACCGAGGATATCCAGTGCTCAAGAATACCTTTATATGTTTTAATGTATATATATAGTTGGCAAAGTAAGATGCCAATGTTATCACTCTTTTCCTCAGTCTTCCACAACAACACCTTTTTTAAATTATAAACTGAAAATTTGTAGAAAGTAAGGGCGTCAAAAAATGTTGAGCTGCCTGGGGCGCCAAAGCTGCTAATGTCGGCCCTGAACGCACCTGTACACAGAGCGTACTCAATTGAATCGCTAACATTTTCGTGTTTGAATTGGTACTTCGCATGTAAACATCATCAGGGACCAAGCATCGAATTGACGAGGACATGGCTAGACTAGATAACAGCAAGAAGTTATCAATCGTCAGAAGCGTTTGCCTGATGGGGGAACAGGCGGTGCAACCCCTCCCATTTGGGCGGCCTTTAAATAAAGTGCTGCTTCTTGGGGGGGGAGGGGGGGAGTAGATATCAGTGATTTAAATATACATGTGTAATATTAGCTTAACCCCATTGATAGATATAAACATAACCTCGCGACACCTTACCAAATGGCGCAAAAACCAAGCTACACCACTGTACGCAGCCGATCAGTTCTACAATTTGACATTTATGGAAGTGGACCAAAGTGCAATGGACGGCAGAGTTACATATAACAATGTTATTCTTTCATGGTTGTGTGTTTGGTTGCTTCTTTGACATGACACTGTAGAGAAATCTGGCCAAGCTGACAGCATCACATCTAACGTGAGTACGGTAGTTTTGTAAAGCATTTAGTGTGTGCTTGTAGTGTTAAATGACCAACTGAATTGAGTGTGTAGCAACGAAACGGGAAGACATAGCTAACAGCAGCTGAATGTGTAGCCCTTCTTAGGTTATACAAAGGAAGGAAGGGATCAGCGACACAGTGTAAGGTAATGATAATACAGGAATAAGTGACACAGTGTTAGGTAATGATAATACAAGAATAAGCGACACAGTGTTAGGTAATGATAATACAAGAATAAGCGACACAGTGTTAGGTAATGTTATACAGGAATAAGTGACACAGTGTTAGGTAATGATAAGTCATGTGAGAAACGCCCTCAAACAGGGCTTATTTAACTCAAAGTCAGGGGGGGGGGAACATAAAAAATAAGGGGGGAGGGGGCGCCAAAATCTATTTTAGATGAAATTTTAATATAGAAGTAAACAATAAAATCCCTTGTACTTCACACGGTGCAGGGGTGCCAAAATCCCCCTTTTACTTGACCACAACGGGCAGAAATTTTTCTATTTAGTAGTGGGCGTTAGTTTTAGTCTTCGCCCAGGCGCGGCTTTTCCTCGGCACTGCCCTGCGCACAGTACCTTTGGAACGATACCAATAGCATGAAACAAACTAACGATACCAACAGCATGAAACAAACTAACGATACCAATGGTTTAAGAATGGACGAAGCTGATTGAAAGAATCAGATGAACGATACCAACGCCGTTAAACACCATGATGTAGGCCAATGACGATCGACACAGTTCTTATAATACGAACATTACAAATATCGTGATTGAATTTCGCTTACCATTTATCTTGGCTTGTAGAATACACTCCAAGAAAATAAATGGAATGAGCTATAACGTTGTTTTTACTTTTAGAACTCTTCTTCAAATTTTCATGTTAAATTCATGACGATTGCCTTGCATAGAATTCGAATAGCTGAACCCAGGGGGTGGGCAAACCTTTTGTGCAGAGGGCCACATTGACAAATGTAAAGCTATTGGGGGGGGGGGGGGGGGAGGGAAATTATGTCCAATTTTTTGTTAAATTCATGACGATTGCCTTGCATAGAATTCGAATAGCTGAACCCAGGGGGTGGGCAAACCTTTTGTGCAGAGGGCCACATTGACAAATGTAAAGCTATTGGGGGGGGGGGGCGCATGGATATTATGTCCAATTTTTACATGTTAATAAACATTTCTCTATATTAAAATCGGTAAATTCGCATTTACGCATTACATGTTAAAAATCCAGGACTGTTTAGAAAAATAGAAATTGAGAAAGAAATTTGATAAAAAATGTTACAACAATTATAACGGAACATGAAATTCTCTAAAATTCAACGAAATAACAAAAAAGCAGAGTATTTGTGAAAAGGTCTAAATGCCTTCGAGGGCCGCATAATATCAGTTGCCGTAGTTTGCCAACCCCTGGCTTAACCCTTTGTTAAATCGTAGACGAGTCGTTCTGAAACATGTTACGAGTAACACCCCCCCACAAAAAAAAAATAAAAAAAAATTGTCAGGCAATACGCGGGAAATCAGCAACTCCTTACCATGCTGAAACTGTAATAAAGAGCATGTTTACAACCTAGTGGCTTGGACTTCCGGATAATTTTGTTTACGACTCTGGCGCTGGTAAAAACAGATATGATTATTTCACAGCGGAGAACTTAAAATTCCTATGACCTCCACCTTTACCAGAGAAGCCCTTTGGGCTACTTGAATGGCTCCAGACGACGATCCCCCCTCAGCAAGGTCAGCAGGGTCAGCAAGGTCACCAAGGTCATCTCGAGTAGATGCTAACGGGACAATGAGTAGACGCCTCGTCATTGTAGTGTCGTTTGTGGAGCGATGGAACACGTTTAACTAATATAATCACTTTCTGTTTTTTTGTTTTTTTCTACGTCCTCCTNTCGTCGCCGCGGCCACACATTCAGCTGCTGTCGTTGTCGACACGCCGTTCGGTCGAATCAAGGGACTTGAAAAGGCGGCACCTAATGGTAAACCCTACCTGGCGTTCCTCGGAATCCCATACGCAAAGCCACCGGTTGGGGACCTGAGATTTGCCAAACCTGTGGCACACCCGAAACTAGGTAAGTTTCCGAAACTATTCTGACCGAGGTTGCGGGGGCCATATTTTAAATTGGTTCTGTCGCTTCTTGCGTATGGTACGTTTAATTGAAGGCACCACCAATAAAATGTGACCAATGATGAAATTTTACGAAGTCTCATTTTTTTTTTTTTAGAAAACAATTGTGAGGGTTGGTGTGGTGCTTTGTGGGGGGTGGGGGGTGGGGGTGGGGTGGGGTTGTTTAATTAAGGTGACGCTTAACTCCATGTGGTAACAAGAACACATCTTCTATAATTTATGTTCTTATCTATTATCCAATATTAAAGATTACACAAAGAGACGCACATTTCAGTTGATGCTGTCTCACGGGTCGCTGTTAGCCATAGTTCACGAAGTCAACAGTGATGCTACATCTGTGAATAACTGTAACAAAATATAGTATACTAGACGATAACTATGTGAAATCTGTAACATTTGTCCATTGACATATCACCACGTGACCCCATCCCTAGACACTTATCACGGTCCACAGGTCGTATCTGGTATATATATATCTTGTTATAATGAAGTTCACTGAAAAGCTGTTGACACTATAGCATTAGTTATTGGGATAAGTTTTTTTTTATGCATCATTAATGTCACATGTGTGTTTGTACCCTCTTTGTACTCTTTTTGTACCCTCTTTGTACTCTTTTTGTACTCTCTTTGTACTCTTTTTGTACCCTCTTTGTACTCTTTTTGTACTCTCTTTGTACTCTTTTTGTACCCTCTTTGTACTCTTTTTGTACCCTCTTTGTACTCTTTTTGTACTCTCTTTGTACTCTTTTTGTACCCTCTTTGTACTCTTTTTGTACCCTCTTTGTACTCTTTTTGTACCCTCTTTGTACTCTTTTTGTACCCTCTTTGTACCCTCTTTGTACCCTCTTTGTAAACGCTATGTAACCTCATTGTAAACAGAACAAGTATTCGACGCCACCCGCTATGGCGCCAACTGCATGCAGCCTGTCTTCATGATTGACCCAAACATCAAGTCAGCAGAAGACTGCCTCGTTCTGAACGTCTATGTCAACGAGATCAGACAGGAACGCGCCAGATTTCAAAAAGTTTTATTTTGGATCCACGGCGGCGGCTTCATACTCGGCTCCTCGTACGGCCACGACGCGGGGACTCTCCTGACAGACCATGACGTCATTGTCGTAACCATCAACTACAGGCTGGGCGTCCTGGGATTCCTCAGTACCGAAAACGAGGCCGGTCCCGGTAACTACGGACTCTGGGATCAAGTCCTCGCCCTGAAATGGGTCAAGGACAACATCGCCGCGTTTGGAGGTGACCCCGACGACATCACCGTCGCCGGTCAATCTGCGGGTGGCTCCGCTGCATCGCTCCTGGCCCTGACGCCCCACGGCAAAGGATTATTCACTAAGGTCTACTCGCACAGCGGCACGGCGACCTCTCTTTTCGCCAAGTACATCAACGCCAAGAATGACGTGCTGGCACTGGCCAAACAGGTGTCATGCTGGGATGGTGACATTACTGATGAAATCAACCTGGCTCAAAGCGGGCAAATATTGGAATGTCTGAGGACAAAACCAGCTGATCAAATAGCCCAGGGGCCGACCTTCAAACTGTCAAGGGCGAATTTCGTTCCAAGGGTAGATGGAGACTTCCTCCCGACGTCACCTCTTGACCTGCTCCAAAACGACCAGTATCTAGATTCCATTGAGTTCTACCAGAAGGCTTACCTGGTCTCCTACAATAACAACGAGCAGCAAGGCACGGACGTCTTGTACGGCATGTTTAAGACACTCTGCTTCAGCAACGACAGCTTGACGACCGAAGAGAAGGTCAACCTGTGGTCACAGACCGTCGACGCCGCCACGGCTGAAAACATTGGCGACCGTCTGGGCATCGACACCCCGCCCCGGGCGCTGGTGGATTTTGTGCACGACTGGTACGAGAGGAGAAAAGGTCGAGACTCGGCGCTGCCGGTCCTCATGTCTGACGTCTCCTTCACCATCCCGTCCTACGACCTGCTCAACGCTCTGGCCAGGAGCAGGTCCACCGACGCCTGGTCGCTCTACTTTAACCACTATCCCGGGTTCATGAGGGGGGCGTTCAAAGGTATGATCCACGGCATGGATCTCGTGTACTTGTTGGACCTGTCCCTGGGGGCGATGGCCAGCCTGACAGGGGCCGGGATAGAGGGGAAGTTCACGGAGGAAGACGTGGAACTGAGGACGCTTTACCAGGCTGTCGTTGCAGAGTTTATCAAGACGGGGTAAGTGTAAGAAATCAACTTGTTAGTTTACCTATGATACTGATAGTCTATTGTACAACCATAGTAAAAAGACGTTATTTTACAGGCCAATAACGTTATATTTATAATATTTCAGCTGATCGCTGCAAAATTAACATTGATTTGTTACGACACACTGAAATAAATTACTGAATTTCTTCAACACCTTCTTAGCATTAGGAAAAAAAAACTTGTGTGTTTGGCGTGCAATTCCGTCCCTGCTAGCGCCCCGTTCAAACTTAACCTTGGCGCCCCTTTTATGTATAATCATAAAAATGTTTGCAAGGAAAACCTAGGGGCTACATATTGAGTTTAGTATTTAGTTTTTATTTTAGCAAACAATTAACAATGATATTGATTTTCTTAACTTGTATTTGGACAGTATGAACAATTAGCCTACTGTCCACATTTTTTTTCTAGTCTTTGATCGCCAATATAAATTTTAATTGCAGTTTGTATTTTTTTCTTTGGTGGCCCAGGCAACGCTTTTTTTCTATTTTGGAAGATCGTTGATGGCGCCCTAAGCACGTGGCGTCCCGGGCAACTGCCCCAGTGGCCGGTACCTTGAACCGACCCTGTTGGCGTGGGGCAGCGTCCGAAGAGATTTAAATGGAGTTGTAATCTGACCTCGAATTACTTTGTAGACAACACACTCAAAATACACTTGTTTACATCAGTTTGAATCCTACACTTCAACGGTTTGAGATTCGTCCGTGACGTTCCATAACGCACCAGTCTGTTGCGACCCACAGGGGTGCTAACCACTGCTCTAAGATGTTTGTGTATTCTGGTTAAATGCACGTGTTATGGTATTGAGCTTTCAGACTCACAAGTTTCAACTAAGTCATCGCATGTTTAGTTCACGGGGTTAAATAAAAAAACAATTTTCATCTTTTATTTTGTTTTTGTTGTGCTTGCAGAAGTCCAGTCAAGCCATTGCTGGCCAAGCTACCAGGAGGATGGCCCACCTACGATCTTCATGGAGCCAAGTACCTAGACTTCAATCCCAGCCCTAGCGTACAGAGAAATCTGAACCGAGAGAAGAGAGAATTGTGGGAGAAAACGATACCCAGGCTTGCCACTCTGTACCAGAGAACCACACAGCACACAGAGCTATAACGCGTTCAACAACACACAGAGCTATCTACATCATTTTAAATGAACATTTTATATGTATTCATATAGATCAGAGGCTCTCAACCTTCCTAATGCAGCGACCCTTTAATGCAGTTCCTCATGGTGTGGTGACCCCCAACCATAAAAATTTCTTATTGCTACTTCATGAGTATGTGTTTTCCGATGGTCTTAGGCAACCCCTGTGTAAGGGTCTTTCGACCCCATAAAGGGTCGCGACCCACAGGCTGAGAACCGCTGATAAAAGAGAGTGAATATCAATTGTTTGTGTATTGAAAACTACTTTTCTAATTTTTATTATTAAAAGTTCAGATTATATGATAAAATATTATTTTGCTGACTTCATAAAGTGGCAGCTGTTTTGCTGACTTCATATAGTGGCAGCTGTTTTGCTGACTTCATATAGTGGCAGCTGTTTTGCCTGCACTTGCAGGCTACTCTCACGCTGTTCATTATCGCGCAACATCACATGAGACAAGTTGACGTATTGATGAGACAAGTTGACGTATTGATGTGACAAGTTGACGTATTGATGTGACAAGTTTACGTATTGATGAGACAAGTTGACGTATTGATGTGACAAGTTGACGTATTGATGTGACAAGTTTACGTATTGATGAGACAAGTTGACGTATTGATGAGACAAGTTGACGTATTGATGAGACAAGTTGACGTATTGATGTGACAAGTTGACGTATTGATGTGACAAGTTGACGTATTGATGTGACAAGTTGACGTATTGATGTGTTAAAAAAGGGAATTCATTTATTCCGCCCGACTAGCAACATGTCCACGTGTGACTCATTAAATTTTATTAGATCCTCTTGGTGGTGATGAATTTCACAGGTTTGAGAACCACCGTTCTGTATTCATAGCAGGGGTCTCAAACTCGTGGCCCGCGGGCCATTTGCGGCCCACAAGACGATATTTTTCGGCCCGCTACATGACAGCAAAGTTTAGTATAAAGTGGCCCGCGAGTTTTCCCCATTCTCCTATAAATAATGTGACCCTCCGCGACGGTTTCAGTCAAATCTCAGCGACTAGTCTAATTCTGATTTTTATTGTGATGTATAGATTTGGACGTTGATTATAAGTGTAAAACAGATTTAAAATCGAACTTATTAAAGTTTTATTTTATACCATTTTATGAGACAAACATGGCCAAAGTTTAAAAAGTCAGTTAGTGGATGATGCACAACCATAATTGTGTAAATCGTAGTAATCTGACACAGTATCAAAGAATCCCTATTAAAATTGCCGCTACTGTTAACAAGTGGTGGACATTCCGAGCCTGTCAGTGTGGTCGTCTATGTCAAAATAGGATTAGTCAAAAAGTCCTTCTCTACAATGCAAAAAAAAAGAAGAAAAAAAATCAAAATTCATTCTCCCTACAATAGCATCTTCCTTCACATCAATAATTCATAAATATGGCCTGCTCCTGCCTACTGTTTGAACACATTTTAGCATGTAAAGCCTTCATGGAGAAGGATGGGGTGGTTGTCCAGATAAAAAGTGATCCCAAATGGCTCATGGACTTGGCATTTCTTGCTGACCGTGGACAGGAGCTGAATGTACTCAACAAAAAATAACAAGACCAGGGGCAGCTTGTCAATGTTGCCTATGACAACGTCAGGGCATTCTGCACAAAACTTGTGTTATGGTTCTCAGAGCAACCTCTGCCATTTCCAAAATGAAAAGTAATCATGGATTTGGGCCCACCATTCAGTAGTAAGTATACTGATGCCACTGTTTAGACTTCAAAACACACAGAGCCCCTTTTCAAATTTTTGCTGCTCCTTTCTCCTTTAATGTGGAAGATGCCACCCCCCCCCCTGTGCTTCCAATGGAGCTGATTGATCTTCAGGGCCATTCTAAGTTCAGTGACTGATTGGAGAAACAGACAAGCAAGGACAATTTATGAGAGCATTGCCCGTCACCTTCTCTAGGGTTTCCAGGTTGCTCAAGCGGATCATGTGCCTTTTGGGAGTACCTACCTGTCGGAAAAGCTCTCTTCCCACTATTATATTTGACAAGTCAAAGTTCAGGGCCAAACTTACTGATGAGCATCTTCAAGCTATACTGAGGGTCTCAGTTGCTTACCTCACTCAGCCAAATGCTGCTCAGCTGTGTAAGAAGAAGCGCTGCCAGGTCTCTGGCAACAAGAAGTAGGAGGAAGAAGTGAAGCCCACTTCTTGAGAACCCTTAATGTTTTTATTTGTTATTACTAAAGATTGGGCAGATTGTAACAGCTGTACTTTATTGAATGTGTAATCGCTTTTTTGTGTGGAATACTTGATGCGGCCCAGTCTCACTCAGACTCTACCTCCTGCGGCCCAGTCTCACTCAGACTCTACCTCCTGCGGCCCAGTCTCACTCAGACTCTACCTCCTGCGGCCCAGTCTCACTCAGACTCTACCTCCTGCGGCCCAGTCTCACTCAGACTCTACCTCCTGCGGCCCAGTCTCACTCAGACTCTACCTCCTGCGGCCCAGTCTCACTCAGACTCTACCTCCTGCGGCCCAGTCTCACTCAGACTCTACCTCCTGCGGCCCAGTCTCACTCAGACTCTACCTCCGGCGGCCCAGTCTCACTCAGACTCTACCTCCTGCGGCCCCCGTTTGATTTGAGTTTGGGGCCCTTGATTTAGCATTAACAGTTTAGCCAGTAAGTGAACGAAGTGAAGCTCCTTCGCCTATCTCCTTCACCCTACACCTCTGCCAGCATCTTCCGTAAACTCAGGTCGGGTATTTCCAAGGTAGATAAATACACTTTATAAAACCAGTTTATTTCTAACCATTCTCTTTTATGTTTTTTACACAATGTTTGACATCTATCAATACATTTTTCTTATTCAAAAACACGTAACAAAAACAACTGAGGCGGCATTTTGGGGGCTGGAACGGATTAATGGCATTTCTATTAATTTCATTGGGGAAGATTGATTTGAGATACGAGTAAATGTTATCTACGAGCAAGGTTACGAAACGAATTAAATTCATATCTCGAGGTCCCACTGTATTTAAATTTTGTGATGAGCGAGCCGAACGATACCTGACAGAAAACAAAATATTTGAAATAATGTGATAGAAGAGTCGGAGCCTTAGATTGAACAGGTCAGTTAAAATCCCCAGCTTGGTGTGAGGTGTTTTAACAAACCCGCTGTAATGTAAGAGACCTGAACAGCTAGCAATGCCCTAATGCAGCGTTCCCCAAACGGTGGTCCAGGGACCGGCACCGGTCCGTAAGCCTTACGTTACCGGTCCAGAGAGCATGAATATTGATGTTTAAATAGAAAGAGAATGTAATGAATAAATCTGGCACCGGTCCCTGGTGCAGTCTCGAAACTTGTCCTCCGGTCCGTGGAACTTAACAGTTTGGGAAAGGCTGCCCTAGTGCATTTTATGACCTCCTTAAGCCTGATCTATGTGTGCTAAACAATGGCTCAGAGCACCTGATAACCTCTTTAATCCTGATCTACGTGTACTAAACAATGGCTCAGAGCACCTGATGACCACTTTAATCCTGATCTATGTGTACTAAACAATGGTTCAGCGCACCTGATGACCTCTTTAATCCTGATCTATGTGTACTAAACAATCGCTTCTTTCAAGCTGATCGGCTCCATTCATAAAGCTGGCAACTAAATAAATCTGAGCTACGTCGACATTGTAACGACACAAACAACCCCGAGCCCATCTGGCAGTAGGAGGCGTTGGCACGCGACATGGCGCCTTCAGAACATGGGAAGGTAGATATGATCGGAGCACCCACCTACCTTAAAGCTGCGTAAGGCCCAACTTTAGGTTGTTAAGCGCTGAAATTAAAAATAACATTTGACCTTAAATTAATTTCTCCATGATTCGTAAAGTTAATTTAATTTTTTTTTTTTTAAATTTGGGGGTGTGGGGGAGGGGTGCAAAATAAAATTATAATAAAGCAAAGTCTAGTTTTAAAAAATAATTATACAAATAAATAAAAGCCAATGAAAAGTATCATCATCATAATCATCATGTCCCTTAGTCCTTGGACCGTTGGGGCGCCACAGATGACATGTGAACTATCCTCCTCCATTCGTCTCCGTCTTCTGCATACGCACAGCATCGCCCAGTGTTAGTCCTGTCCACTCTTTGATGTTATCCTCCCATCTTCTTCTTTGTCTTCCTCTTCTTCTCCCTCCTCTTGTGGTGCCCTGCACTATTTCTTTGGCAAGCCCTTGTTTCCTTGTTACGTGGCCGTACCATTGTAGTTTGCGTTTTTTTCCACAGCCAACAATAGGTCATCGTACTCCCCAATTGCCAATGAAAAGTATAGATTTAGTAAATTGCAAAAAGTATCACACAAAGTCTGAGAATAGTTCATCAATTCGTCATATCTGGATGAAATAATGTTGTTAAAAATAGTATGGTCCCCGGCTTTGTTCAGACTATGCTCCATGGATTTCGTGTATCTTTAACACGTCTGATATCTTTACTCTTTTACACGTCTGATGACTTTACTCTTCTGACATTTCTACTCTTCTGTATCATTTACCTTCTCATATGGGTAAACCGTGTAAACAAGCTTCTGTAATTGATGATTCTGGAATCAACAATTCTTCTCCCGGCTCCACGGCTCGAACAAACCAACTGAGATACGTTAGGTGACAGCGGCGTCTTACCCCGCAGACACATCGGCGTATCTCATTGATCTCCTGCATGTCTTATAGAAAAGGGCGTCACGTGTCAAACCATTTCAGCTCGTCATCACCCAGGACTTGGAGGCCTACCAAGGGAAACATTCACCGTGACATGTTCTCGACACCGTTCATTAAGTAGCTTGTCTTTGGTCAGCGTTCTTATGGTTATGTTTGAGGACCGCTTCTTGGTCCCTACTCATGGGAACGAAACTGTCTTGCTGTCTTGTGGTTTATTCTTACAAACACGAAGAAATAATTTAATAATGAAAGTTTTTGTTAATGAAAAGTGGAAGAAGACATGTCTAAAGGCTTGAAGAAAAAAAAATGACTGAACAATTAAAAGGAAGTTTCGGATAAACGCCAAACTCAGCTAAAAATACAAAGCGAGAAATCAATTATTTGATATTAAAATCTCAAGTGTTCCCAAATCACAAGGTAGTTCTCTCACTTAAGTGTTTCCAAATCACAAGGTAGTTCTCTCACTTAAGCGTCCCCAAATCACAAGGTAGTTCTCTCACTTAAGTGTTTCCAAATCACAAGGTAGTTCTCTCACTTAAGTGTTTCCAAATCACAAGGTAGTTCTCTCACTTAAGTGTCCCCAAATCACAAGGTAGTTCTCTCACTTAAGTGTCCCCAAATCACAAGGTAGTTCTCTCACTTAAGTGTCCCCAAATCACAAGGTAGTTCTCTCACTTAAGTGTCCCCAAATCACAAGGTAGTTCTCTCACTTAAGTGTCCCCAAATCACAAGGTAGTTCTCTCACTTAAGTGTCCCCAAATCACAAGGTAGTTCTCTCACTTAAGTGTCCCCAAATCACAAGGTAGTTCTCTCACTTAAGTGTCCCCAAATCACAAGGTAGTTCTCTCACTTAAGTGTCCCCAAATCACAAGGTAGTTCTCTCACTTAAGTGTCCCCAAATCACAAGGTAGTTCTCTCACTTAAGTGTCCCCAAATCACAAGGTAGTTCTCTCACTTAAGTGTCCCCAAATCACAAGGTAGTTCTCTCACTTAAGTGTCCCCAAATCACAAGGTAGTTCTCTCACTTAAGTGTCCCCAAATCACAAGGTAGTTCTCTCACTTAAGTGTCCCCAAATCACAAGGTAGTTCTCTCACTTAAGTGTCCCCAAATCACAAGGTAGTTCTCTCACTTAAGTGTCCCCAAATCACAAGGTAGTTCTCTCACTTAAGTGTCCCCAAATCACAAGGTAGTTCTCTCACTTAAGTGTCCCCAAATCACAAGGTAGTTCTCTCACTTAAGTGTCCCCAAATCACAAGGTAGTTCTCTCACTTAAGTGTCCCCAAATCACAAGGTAGTTCTCTCACTTAAGTGTCCCCAAATCACAAGGTAGTTCTCTCACTTAAGTGTCCCCAAATCACAAGGTAGTTCTCTCACTTAAGTGTCCCCAAATCACAAGGTAGTTCTCTCACTTAAGTGTCCCCAAATCACAAGGTAGTTCTCTCACTTAAGTGTCCCCAAATCACAAGGTAGTTCTCTCACTTAAGTGTTCCCAAATCACAAGGTAGTTCTCTCACTTAAGTGTCCCCAAATCACAAGGTAGTTCTCTCACTTAAGTGTTCCCAAATCACAAGGTAGTTCTCTCACTTAAGTGTTTCCACATCTCTATCTCTTATATGTATTACGCTTCTGGTGTGACTTGTGGACTGCTTCCGTTTCTGACTGCTTCCTATTCAGCGTATTCGGTATTGAGAGTATATTACAAATAATTCTTTTTGTTTGAAAGAAAGTATGGTTCAATAATGAGTTCAGTAGAGCGCAAAATATAATTCCCGATAACTACGCTAAATGATACATTTATTTAAAATACGCAACTGCGTTTGGTGCGTAATATTTTCTTTGCGAAAATGAAATCGTCTCAATTTAAGTATTGTGTAAAAAATATTCGGTTTAAAGGTGGTTGGAAGATCAGATTATTTGATACAGTTCATGGACGTGAAATAAAAAGTGTGCAGTGACGTATCATGTGGGGAAGAGGTGTAGCAAAGTAACTTTAGTAGATGGGAAGTTCACGTATTGCTGTCACCAATGTTTGGCGGGCTGTATCTAGTATAGAAATCACCGAGCGGTGTAAACTGTCTCAAACCAAATAGCCGGTGGTCCGGAGTTCAATCCCCATCAAAGCCAACATTCCAAGCATCCCGGGTGGATAGGACTCGTTAGCCTTGGGCGGCAACCCATCTAAGAGAACGCAAATTGATCTCGGGCCCCTCAAATGTAAGAAGAAGAAAGAAGAAGAAATAAAGGCGCACTATACAAGCCGGAAGTCAAGCTGTTCAAACGCAAAATGTTACTCTCACATAGTTCTGTGGTGCGTACCTCAAGGTAAAAGAATTATTCTTAATGTAGCGATTAATATCTTAACCAAAAAAACCATTTTAAAACACGAGAAAAGAAATGGAGAAAAAAATAGGACTATTACTATGAGATCATTTAGACACAATGTCACAGCAGAGAGGCAGCTTCATTGTCACTTGACCGATCTGATAGATTACAGAAATGCATAGTAGTGTGAGGGCTAGTATCACATATGAGTTAAAAATAACTTATAACATACATTGTTTAGATCAGAAAAAAAACTAGCATCTCCAATAAAAGATCCAATTATAAAAAATATAATGTTTCACGTCTAAAAAGAAAATTGTATTTTATTAGTTAGCAAAATTGTTAATATTGTAATGGGCAATATTCGTCACAGTTTGAGAATCGTTCAATTTAAAAGTTACATCAGCGTAGAAGTCACTTCGGTAAAATGTGCAAATCCCATGTGATAAGACCATGGCAAATATCTTAACGATATATTTCTTATCTGTCCTGTTGGTTGATTTACGCCCCGCCCTGGGTGCTCGCCCAACAAGAGGCCCCCCGCCGACTGCGTCAACATAGAGAGAGAGCGAGAAGAGTTCCAAAAACACATAAACAGCACGCACGCTTTAGTTGCATCAAAATATGTTTGTAAGTTATGCATAGCAACGCGGAGAGATGGTTTTAGAGGGAGAGGGCGGTATCACATGATTCGGGCCAATAAACTAGTACTATGTATGTTAAAGACTTAAGTTATTGACTTTGTTTGTATAGGGTAAAAAAAAAAGGGGGGGGGGGCATCACGTAAAGATCATGAAAAGGGAATGAATAGGCCATGTTAAGATCACAAGGAAAAACAAAATTATGCCAGCTAATCAATATTCGGGCCAATAAACTAGTACTATGTATGTTAAAGACTTAAGTTATTGACTTTGTTTGTATAGGGTAAAAAAAAAAGGGGGGGGGGGCATCACGTAAAGATCATGCAAAGGGCATGTATAGGCCATGTTAAGATCACTAGGAAAAATCAAATTATGCCAGCTAATCAAAAGAAATTATTTAAGTAATTATCATTAGGAGCGCCCCCTGGTGGAACACGGACAAGTTAAAACCTAAGTCTGACGTAGCAGGACAGAGAAGGGCAGTTCTTAGAAATATCCTCCAATGTACTACACTATTTAAATACTGATTTGCAAAAGGATTGGAAAACACAATCAACCTATGAAAATGATTATTATTTATCAAGATATGTGTTGTTTAAAGCAAAAGTTTCCCGAAACATTTATTGAAAACAAAGCGGCATTACATGTAGTTACATATTTATAAACCTGTAATTGTTCTAAAATGTTTGCCCTGTAATCAATCAACAGCACACATGATTCCATCGAGGATCGACTTCGGACTTTTAAAAAAAAAAAAATAATAAAAAAGGGATGTTGCCTTGATTTTTTCAACCAAAATAACTCAGATGATAGCAATGGGATACATCAACGAGTGTCACGCTATTGGGCTATATTTTTGTTTAGGGGGTGGGGTGGGCAAAAAAAAGTTTGGCGGGTGGGGGAGGGGGGTTGATAAAATGCGGACTATAGTTCAGTGCCGTAATGATTTATAGTTTCTAGGACGCCCTGTGCCTGAATTCATACGCTAACATGTGGAGGTCTATATGCGTGTAGTAAGGACAAAATAAAGCGCTTTGCAGAGGCAACACCTTATCTGGTAAGATGTACATGAATATGGTAATATTCTGTTACGAATTTTCTTGCATTTTATGGCAAACTTAAGAAAGATTCAAGACGAATCTATTTCATACTTTCTTTAGTTTCTTGCGATAACTCAACTGGTGTGTTCAGTTAAAATGTACGATGCCAACGCCATGCGTAAATTAAATAAATATATAGTGAACATCACAGAAGGGAATAACCTTCTGTGAGGGGGGTGGGGGCAATGGTCAAGCATGGTGGTATGTCATACCAAATTATGGTGTCAATGTTATGTGAGTAATTATAAAGGACAGTTAAGTCGGGTATGGGACTTTTGTCTGATGGTACCGCTTACAATATGCCGCCAAAATCTGACATGTTATTTCATTGACCTCATGGTCTCACTATTTATCTAACCTCAGTGGCAGTTCTCACAATGGGTACACACGTGATGCTGTTGCTGGTCACTGCAAGTGTCCAACTTTGGGCAGCGTATCCTTCCCCTGTGGTGGACACACCGTTCGGACGGCTGCGAGGCATGGAGACGGTCGCCAGGAACAACAAGACTTACCTGGCGTTTCTAGGCATCCCCTACGCCAAACCACCTGTCGGAGAGTTGAGATTCAATAAACCTGTGCCACACCCGAAATTAGGTAAAAGCAAACATGAAAAAGTTTATAATAAAAACTCTTCTTAAGGCCGTACTACCGTATTAATACTAAAGGACCAAGCCATTTATTAATACTAAAACTCCAAATATTGATTGACTAACGGATGTTGAGCGAAAAGCTAAATCAAGAACTACAAAAAAAAAAGTATTGTTCCGAATCCAAAACTCTCGAGTCCATGACGTCATTTCTCATGAAGCTGTTTTCACTCAGAGAAGGTTTTTTTTTAATAACTGAGAAGAACTAATCGCCTGTGTCTTGTCCCAGCAGAATTTAAACTATTAGATTTTGTTAATTGAAAGTGGACAAATTTCATACTTCATTCTTTACTGTTTACCATACTTCAAGTAAACTTCATATTTCAATTATATTTCATTCTTTACATTAGACGATTTCGGAAGATACCATGAATGCCCTTTGTCTGCCCACGCAGGCTCACGCAATGGTGGTTGTGTTCCCAGGGTAGCAGTAGGGGGGTCGGTGGCAGCGCCTCTTTAGTCAGCATGCCACCACAGACATGTCGGCCAGAGCCCCAGGGTGACCTTCATGGCATACATCTTCCTTAACAAAAGTGTTTATTTCTTCTTGACCCCTATTCATGGGTCATTTTGAATATATGATAGAGAGGGCATATACTGGCCATATTCCTGAATTTTATAGGAGATACATAGATGACAGCATAGGCATCACAAGCATGGAAACTAATGATCTCCAGAAATTTATAGATTTATTAAACTCATTTCACCAATTAATAAAATTTACTTCTCAAATCTCTGGACATTCTGTCAACTTCCTTGATATCACCGTAACTTTGAAAGAAAACGTATTGATTACATCTGCCTACTACAAACCTACTGACAGCCATAGTTACCTATTGTACTCATCCTCCCACCCTAAATCATGCAAAGACTCCATACCTTTCTCACAACTTCTTAGACTACGGCGTCTCTGCCAAATTGATGAGGAATTTCTAGAAAGAGCTGATGAAATGATGGATTTCTTCCGCTCCAGATCCTATCCTGAAACTACTCTGGTCTCAGCACTAGATCGCATCAGCACGATCACACGAAAAGAGGCTTTCAAAACTCGCCCTAACAACAATGAGGATCGTACCAAACTTATACTAACCTACCACCCTCACAATTTAACTGCCAAAAAAATATTCCTAAAAAATCGTAGCATACTTCTTGCTGACCCTGATACCAACAGGGTTTTCTCATCCCCTCCACTGATTGTCTTTAGACGGGACAGAAATCTAGGTGATCTTCTGGTTCATAGTCGCCTTCGATCTGAACCGTCTTACGTTGGTACTAAACCATGCTTAAGAGGCCGCTGCAGAACTTGTCCCTTTACACTCCAAACTGATAGCATTGGCCTCCCTAAAGGTACTTTTACCATTAAAGAGGGTTTCACCTGTGTCAGCAGAAATGTAATATATGCGATTGTTTGCCGTAGATGCCAATCAAGTTACATAGGGGAAACTGGGAGAAGATTGGCTGATAGGTTCACTGAACATCTAAGGGATATTGAGCAATGTAAACCTTCTTGGGAGAAGATTGGCTGATAGGTTTACTGAACATCTAAGGGATATTGAGCAATGTAAACCTTCCCCGGTCTCTTCTCATTTCAACCAAAAAGAACATAAAGGTGCATTGGATGTAACCATTACGGCATTGATTTCATGCAGTAACACACCAGATAGGGTTAAAATGGAAAATAAATTTATTCAGCTGTTTGGCACCATATCTCCATATGGTATTAATCAAATAATATCCTACTGATGTTTCTCCGTTTCCCTATATTTCATCTATTTTCTTATTGCTGTTTGTTGATGTATCCCTGGAGATTCTGGTCCATTATTATTGTGGACTTTATTTTTCACGGTGTCAATATTTATATTCTCTCGCTTCCTGTTTTCCCACTTCCGGAGAGACGAATGAATACTGCTTGAGTTGTCTACTGTGTTCTTTTCTTTGTTATATTTTCATTTCTATTGTTGGCTGAGGAAGGCTTTATGCCGAAACGTCCTTGTTTTTTGTCCTGTTACCTTATTTCAAGCTTCCACATACCTCGTTTCACTATTTCATTCATTTACATAGCTTGAAAGCAGTCCCTTCATTTATTATTTCTTCTTGTGCGTCCCCTTCCAAAGCTAGGTACTTTCTTTAGCGGTGAATGACCTTCCTGAGGGATAGGTCGTTAGTCTCGTGAGGCTGTTCAAACAGTTCAGAAAAATTTAAAAATGCATTTTTTTATAAAAATCCTGCAAATTCACAATCAAATCTATTCAATCTTCCTTGCGGCAAGCGAGCAAAGCAAAAATATGAAACTCCATAATGCCACCAAACACAAATAAGATATACGTACATGCTGGTTAAGGCGGGTCCATTTTAACGTTTGACATGACACATCGGGTAAAGAGTTAGCTTATACAGACGTAACAATAACCACGATCTGATGTGTTAGCATATCAGCCTGAAATTAAATTTACAACCTTGAAATTAAGAAGACTGTTTGCTTGTCACCTTTCTCTAGCTGCTGTGTTTAACGCAACGGTGCCTGGTGCCTCCTGCGTTCAATCTGATTTGATGCTTCAGCCAGGAGAGACGATGTCCGAAGACTGTCTGTTTTTGAACGTGTTTACCAGAGGCGACGGCAACTCGACAGTCAACCGCAAAAAGGTGATGGTTTGGGTTCACGGTGGTGCATTCATCCTGGGCTCCTCCCTGCTGTACGACGCCGGATCAATCGTGACGGACCATGACGTCATCGTGGTCACGCTCAACTACAGGCTGGGCGTGCTGGGGTTTTTCAGCACCGGAAACGAGGCGAGTCTCGGGAACTACGGTCTTTGGGACCAGGTGGCGGCTTTAGAGTGGGTCAAGGACAACATCGCCGGCTTCGGTGGGGATCCCGATGACGTCACTGCCATGGGCCAATCCGCCGGAGGGGCGTCGGTGTCTCTGTTAGCGTTGTCGCCTGTCGCCAAAGGCGTGTTCACGAGAGTTTACGCTCAAAGTGGGTTTGCGTCGTCACTGTTCGCAAACTACGTCAATTCCTATATGGACGCGGAGTTCGTGTCCCGAGAGTTGAACTGCACTAACGAAGTTCCTCGCAACGCAACCGAGTTGGTCAGAAGTCATGCCGTCTTAGACTGCCTGAGAAATCGTTCAGCCGCCGATGTTTCCAAGTGGGCCGCCCCTGAGCTGTACAGAACATCATACGGGCCACGTGTGGACGGGGATCTCATCCCGAGGTCGGCTTTAGAGTTGCTGGGCGACTACGATTATCTGGTATCGATTGGATTCTACGAGAGAGCGTACTTGGTCGGCGTCAACAACAACGACAGACAGGCGGTCGATGCCTTATTCGAGTCTGCAAAGTTAAGCCACTATGGCGCCGTGAACAACTTGACGTCAGAGGAGAAGGAGAAAGGCTGGAAGGACACCGTCAACACAGCTGCGTGCTTCAACATTGGGGACAGGCTGGGCTTAGAGTCGCCTTCGGATGTCCAGGTCCGTCCCATCACCGATTGGTACGAGAACAGGCATCCTGGCGAGGCCGCTGTGAAGACCCTCATCTCCGACCTGTACTTCAGCGTGCCGCTGTTCGATTTTCTCAAGGCCGTGGCTAGAAACAGCTCGGTGAAGGCGTGGCTGATGTACTTCAACCATTTCCCGAGCTACTTGAACGGGACGTCCAAAGGAATGACGCACGGACTGGACCTGCCCTACTTGTTTGACATTCCGATGGACGTCGTGGACAGGCTGACGTTTGCGGGAATCCACGGAAGCTTTGATGGCGCCGACTTGAGACTCAGACGTCTCTTTTCTTCTCTGATAGCGGAGTTCACCAAGACAGGGTAAGTATGAAGTTACGTGTGTTCTCTGATAGCGGAGTTCACCAAGACAGGGTAAGTACAGCGTGTTTTAATAGGAAAACTAACTGAAGTTTTAAAAAGTAATTTTATATAACTCGAAAGTGAACCTGTTTCATAACTCGAAAGTGAACCTGTTTCATAACTCGAAAGTGAACCTGTTTCATAACTCGAAATCCTAAAACTAGAGCTTTAAATCGCCATTTCATCATCGTCACCGGATGACGCCCCTGCCCCCCATGGTTATCATTGTGTTGTTTTGATTTATGTCGCGTCCCACTGATGTGTCACGAACAACCTTGGTGTGAGTAGTGCAATCATTCGAATTTTAATGCGCCTGTTGCATGGTCAGTCCTACACAGAAATTTGAGACTAACTACTTGTGTTTTTGATCAACTCCCTCTATTCCTTCGTATTTGTTTTATAAACTATTTAACATGTTTTCCTCGTAAAGAAAACTACTCTGTGAATCTACAGTCTTTCCATTATCACCAACATATTTTTTTCAAATAAAATTAACCAAATCTTTATAACAGTTTAAGTTATGAACTCTTCTTCTAACAACTCTAACGATGCATTCAAAACAGAAACCCGACAAAGGCACTGGACAGCGAGACACCAGGCGGATGGCCAGCGTATGACTTACAAGGTGGTCAGTACTTGGACTTTAATCCCACCCCAAGCATTCAGCAGGATCTAGACAGGGAGAAGAGAGAGTTCTGGGAGGTCACGGCACCCTCTTGGTTTGCATCGACAACAGTGTCGGTTACCGCAGCAACGTCTACTACACGTAAAGGATCTACAGCCTCGGCGGTGGGGGCTGTCGGCTGTCTTCACATCTGTGGAGTTGTTGTTGCAGCTGTGTTGATTAATAACTAGAGACACAATGTTGGTTGAGACAGAGACGCAATGTTGGTTGATTAAAATGTCAAAGTATTTTTAAATTTAAAAAAGAAATAAATATATATTCAGTTGTGTTGTTAGATATAGAGCGGGATGGATGACAGATGGGCTAAGAATTGAAGGATACAGAAAAAGAGGCAGAGAGAGAAGCAGAGAGACAGGGAGAGACAGAGAGAGACAGAGGAAGGGACAGAGAGAGTGGGGAGAGAAACACATTTAACTTGCTATTCAAACACAAAAAGAAACAAGATTTTCATTTTTGAAAACATGCATTTGTTCACCTGTCAAAATGATGAAACATTTTTAAAAAATGTGTCGTGACGTGTGATTTATAAAAAGGGAAATAAGAATGATTTGCAGTTACAGAATTAAAATCTCATGGTTATGCCCCCTTTGCCAATTTTTAACCTGTTGGAGAAACATGATCATTTCAATTGTTTTTACCTTTTATTACAATCACCCACACCTTTCATTACAATAACCCACACCTTTTATTACAATCATCCACGCCTTTTATTACAATCATCCACACCTTTTACTACAATCATTCACACCTGTGAAGAATTATTGAGTCAGCAGCGACATTGTAATAGTATGTTTTGAAACTCTTTTACTGAATATAGTCAATGATGATCTATCAATTTTTTTAACGGTACATTTTTGTTTTGGAGAGTATTCTTTATGGACTCTCGAATTACCGTAAATACCAATATTATGACCCACACAACTGGCCAATGGCTAAGTTGGGGATGGGGATGTGGTGAGTGTGGCTGCCACCACTAAGGAGGTGGGGTGGGAAGCCACAGGTTCACCTCAAAGTATTATAGTACACTTATAATGCTACAAACTTGAATATAACAAAGAGAAAAAAAAATGAAGAAGGTAATATATTCGGCCGATTATTATGGGCATAATTGTGCTTCATTAAATGAAATTAAAAAACTATTTTTTTACATTTAATCTGCAGAGGGCCCTTGAATTCCATTAATTAAATCTTAGATGACACATGTCACAAATGTCACAAATGTCTGAGTCTGGTTAAAATAGTAAGACACAGTCATAAATCACTGTTCTATAACCTGTTTCGTTAAAAAAAAAAAAAAAAAAAAAAAAAAAAAAAAAAAAAAATAAAAAAAAAAAAAAAAAAAAAAAAAAAATTCACTTTTCTATAACCTGTTTCTTAAAAAAAAAAAAAAAAAAAAAAAAAAAATTGTTAGATTCTAAGACGCAATTGAGAGTGACTAACGTCGAAGGATTAGTGCCGTCTGGGGCGCACCAAGATTTTTACCTCCCCCACCAGGAAAAAATCAGCATTTGACTCATAAAATGCCACCCTCAATACGATTAATATGAAGAATCAAGAATACGGGCCGACCTACGGCGCCAACAAGTTATAATTAGACCAGATGAAAAACTAATTATCTAGCCGGCTCTACACTACTACACTACAGTTACTAGACTATAGTCTTACCATTTATCATTTCCATTAAGTGAAAACAACCAGGCTACAACTTCCGTGTCAGAAGTTTACTCCTCTTTTTTAAATTAAAGAATCATTTCAATAATAGTAAAAGTTACTTCAATAAAAAACAGGAAATAAATTTGTCCACTATCATCCCTTATACACTTAAAAGCATAAAAGATACTTATTGCGACCACATAATCAACATCTGCCCGGCTAGCTCAGTCGGTAGAGCATGAGACTCTTAATCTCAGGGTCGTGGGTTCGAGCCCCACGTTGGGCGAATTTTTTTGTTAGTTGTTTTTACTTACATGTAAATTACACATGATGATTTTTGTGTGTGTTTCATTCCAAATAATTGTTTACCAATTACAATTTATATTCTTTTTGCTAATTTTCTGGAGTATGATTTAGGCTATTCCGAAGTATCCCATAATGTAAGTATTTAAATAGGCATTCTGCAAAAAATAAATGATATTTTTTTTTAAAATGCTTAAAATATCAAGAATTGCATGCTACCGCTGACGATTCCCCCATCCCCCCCCCACCCCCCCCCCCACTCCCCCAACCCCGAGATTCCTAATATAAACACGAGATTCCTAATATAAACACTGGCAGCAAACGATCTATATATACACATATTATATATAAATCATTAAATGAGCTATTTAAATAAAATTTCAGTTTGCGATTCTATACCCTTCATCCGATTGCGATAACAATTTGGTGGAGTGTCCACAAGCCCGCGATGTGTTTTGAATAAGTACAACCATTTCAAAATGCTCTCTCTGCATGGGTGAATGGAATTGGTTCACATACAAACAGCGACATTTTAAGTTTGTGTGTGACATAATAAGTCGTTTCGCTGCAAGTGTGTGGACACAATTTTGAAAATCCCTGCTTGTCACGTGGGCAGCTGTATGTGCCGTCTGCTCGCGCGTCGAAAAACCTTCTAATTTATTCGTGTACTCACCAGACGGAACAAAAATTGCTTTATAAAAAGCACTTCAAAAAACATCATTAAAACAAAATACTTTCTTTGAGTGCGTTGCAACACATGCCGGGCATTCGCTAGTTAAAACATAAAAATACCAATATATGTGAGCAACTGGGGGTGGTGGCGCGGCTGAATTGGGGAGCGGCCTATTTGTGGCACAGTCCTACATAGTCAGTATTTAGAATCGAACAGAGTGCAGTTACCTGGATTTGTGTTAAAATAAACCGGATCATTCAATACACCGAGCGCAGCCACATTTCACCAGTTCCACCATTTCACTCATTTCATTAAAATAGTTATAAAAATGACAATTTATTAGTTTAAAAAAAAAAAATTGATTGCTATTGTTGTTGTTGCTGTTGTTGTACACATTTTTCTCTGGTGGTGGGGGAACTCGACTTTCTCGAGGGTGTTGGGGGGGGGGGGGGGGCGACGGTGCCCTTACACCCGGCGCGATGGCTTAAAGCAACACCAGCAGTGTGCTGTTTGATATGTCAGCGGCTCGCAATCGATTTGTCTTCGGTATATTTTCAAATATGAGTTCCAACCTCACCCCCCCCCCCCTTCTATTGAAATATAGCTTCTCGAAAAGAAACAGGTGTTAAAAAAATTGTTGTTTTTTTTTGGTTGTGTTTTTTTTTTTTTGCCGTTGTCCGCCCTTATCAATATAATTTTGGCATTCCCTTTAGCCTCTGGTACGCGTAGCTCCAGCGGTACCCGTGCCACACAGTGGCGTAGCGAGGGTGTTTGGCGCCTGGGGACAAGACTCGCGCCCGGGGACAAGATCCATTTTTAGCACCCCTTTTTCTTTTTTTCAACTCTCAAACCCATTATTTTCATCAATAAAATAATATCAAAGCACATTTTGGCGCCCCTAACTAGTTGGCGCCCGGGGACATCTGTCTCCCCTGCCCCCACCACGCTACGCCTCTGGTGCCACATGCTGGGAGCCGCTGATATAGACATTAAAATTACAATTCATGTTTTGCAAAAGACTGAGGCCAGTGCGTCTACCACCTTTGTAGACATCATGATTCTGTCTAAATTTGGCAATTCGTTGACAATGTTGCTGATAGATCAGAGATTCCTTGTCAAGAGTTGTTTACCAAACCAGGTTGAGATAACTCTTCTCAAACCATTTTTATTTTTCAATTATGTCCCCTGGCTTGTTCCGTTCAATCCGGAATGAAAACCACTGGGCATTTCCTATCTCCCTTTGATCCTCAAAGTTGATTCATTCCTTGGCATCTAATGCAGGGGTTCCCAACCTATTTGATGTCATCTCAGAATGTACGGGGCAAAGTGATCATAAGTTCAGGTCAGCAATTGACTTTTAATTATTTATTATTAGGCACGTCTATATATATATTTATAATTAACTTCTTCATCTGCCTTATTTGCTAGCTATTGTTATAAAGTGGCAAATGTTCATTAATTTTCAATGAACCTGATTAAGTTATAGCAGTTTTAAATATTAAGTAAACCATTTCAGTCTACTGAAATTTTAGGTGCATTTAGACTGCTTCACAAATAAATACACTATGCTGCCTTTATTAAATAACTCCTGTCTCCTAAACATAATTACGCGATCCATCTGTAAAATTTGAACATTTTAAAATAACCTTTGAAGCTCTATCACATTTTCTACAAGAAAGTATTTTTCTCTTTGTTGAATAAGTTTAAAAAAAGGCAATTTTTCATTTTTAAATTTAAGCTAAAGGTTGCACGTTCGTTTAAAGCCAATAATGAATTTAGCAGTTCTCTTTGGTGAAGAAAATATGTTAAAATTTTCTTATATTGATTTCTTCATGAAATAGTTTTTTTTAAAATTATACCATTCTATCTATCTATCTATCTATCTATCTATCTATCTATCTATCTATCTATCTATCTATCTATCTATCTATCTATCTATCTATCTATCTATCTATCTATCTATCTATCTATCTATCTATCTATCTATCT